AACACATATACACCCACTTAAATATATATAAGTATATATATATAAGTTATATATATTACCAAAGGCACAATTACAATTTCAAAGTATTTGACTATTTCAAAATACTCAAATTTAATTTTAATGAATCTGTGACTGTTATGTTTAAAAGAAAAGATAATTTAATGCATTTATAATAGCTACATTTTAATAGTATAAAATGTCTTATAAAATGTCTTTATATATTCTTCTTTAATTATCATGGTCCTCTCAGTAAATATTTCTCTCAAATGTTTTTGTCATTGAAACTATGACGTGTTTATTTCTCAGACTGTAGTTTAATAGGAATTAACAATGGATTTATGTCAGTGTAAAATAGAGATTTCATCATATCCTGATCATCTGATTGTGCAGACGCAGGGAGCAGATACATAAAGAGAAGAGAATCAAAGTATAAAGACACAGATAAGAGATGGGCTCCACAGGTGGAGAAGGCTTTCCTTATGCCTTTGGCAGACTTCTTTTTTAAGATTGTAATGAGCACAAATGTATAAGAGGCAAGAACAGTCTCAATATTAAATGCTTGAGTTCACCCAGAAAAAATAGAAATGATTAATTAAGAGGACTTGTACAGGAAATCTTTAGGAATGGTATAACTTCACAGTAAAAGTGTTGTATTATGTTAAAATTACAGAAGGTCAGTCTGAATAAAAACATTTTGAAAGGTGGAATGAAAAAAATCTCCTACTGGTGACAAGTGATGGCAATTTTTTGTAGTCTGTTGGCCAAAACCACTGGATAAAATAAAGGTTTCCAGATGGCCACATAGAGATCAGAAGCCATTGTTGCTAAGAGAAGACATTTTGTCATTACACTGAATACAAAGAAAAGAAAACTGTATCTTGCATTCAGTAAGATAAATTGTTCTATGTTCACAAGTTGACCAATATCTTTGTTGTTACTGTGGATGATTTACAAAGGAATAAATACATGGGGATGTGAAGGTGGAGGTCCTTCCAGATGACAGCAATCAGACCAAGATTTCCCACAATGGTGATAAGGGGATTTTCCACTGTGCTTATATGGAAGTTCTGTGAGAACAAACTCTGTTGTCAACAATGTTGCGTTTTCTTCTTATATATTCTCTCTATTTTCTCCTGAAATAAAATGCATTAAATGTAAGATTATTCTTTAAAAGTTTATGAAATGAAAAATATTGGAGATGGATTAGAATAAAACTAGGCATTCATAAGAATGCTGCCTATATTTGTTGAATTAGCTCTAATTAATGAAAAGAATTTTAGAAGAATTGATGGAATCCAAAAATTAAATATTTTCCTTCACTCAATACTAATTAATTAACAGACTTAAGGAAAAAGAAAAGACTTTTCAAGCACTTGCTGAAGTTATGTTAAGACTATTGAGTGATAATAATCTCATTATTCAGCTATATGGATTAAGGATTAAAGACAATGATTCTTTTTTCATATTTCCTTTTAAAACTTTTTATTTTCAAGAAAATTTACAGAAGGATACCAGTTATGTAATCAAAGTAATGAGTACATTCTTGTCAACCTTGCAATAGTGATATATACAGACAAATCTGAACAATTTTCGGGGGGGGGTGGTTAGGGGGAGAGAAAGTAGAAAAATTGAGGAAAGAGGTAACAAAGTTGACCAAGGTTCTTTAAAGTTGAAATCTTTGTGACAAAATTTAATCTTTACTTTTGTGCATGGCACCCACTCTGAAACTTTTAAGACCAATTAAGAAAATCTTTTACATAAATGTTATTGAGTACATTTCTTGTTATACATTGCTACCTCCTCTCTCATTTTCCCACTTTCTCTCCCCCCAATATCCCCCAAGTTGTAAAGTTCATTTCCAACATATTGTTTTGTATTGCTGTTAAATGTACTCACTATCTTACACATGTAACTGTAACACCTCCCTAACTACCTTGACAATAAAATTAAAATTTTAAAGTGTTCTTACAGCAAAGCGACTTCAAGGATGTGAAACTTGAGGGAGGAATAGAAAAGAGGAGATAATTTCTATTTTCCTAAGATTCCAAACTAGTAGTGTATATCAGAATTTTGCTCACATTTTGATCACCAAATACAGAATATGACGGATAATTATAGAAAGAGTTTTAAAATGAAGTATAGATATAGATTTTTCTAAAACTCCAGAGATAGATGACTCATATATATGCAAAATCCTTAGTCAATATGCAAGAAAACATTGTGTGATGAGGAACAAGAAGATATTAATTCAAGAGTAATCAAATTGGAGATCAATAGGAATCCCTGACACATTGACTGTGAAGAGATTTGTCATTAGAAGGTAGCAGTGTCACATCAGGATGAGAATGGGAATGAGAGCTCAGGTTTTTAGCAGAGGAACCTGTAAAAACTCAAGTGAGATATAACTAACAAAATTCTATAATTATCAAATATAATTATATGAGACATAATGATATGTTAGCTACAGATAATATATGCACTGAATTGTGGCAAAAGTGAAGTTGAAATGAAGAGATAAGAACTGAGAAGTGATATTAAACCAATTATAAAGAAGATGTGGGTGGGCATCTCTATAATCTCAGCATTTGTGAAGCAGAGATTGGAGGATCACAAGCTCCCAGGAGGCTGTCCTATATTGTAAGACCCAGCTCACATTTGTTTAAGAACAGAGTAAAAGGATATGGAAGCAATTTACTAGCTAGAGGGCAGTAGATCCCCTCTCTAACCACATAAATATTGATGCTGCACAGAGACGGATACTTCTCTAGAGCTCAAAACACAAATTTTATCCCTATTTACTTAGATTGAGAGAAAAAGGGTTACATTGATCAAGACAGATTGTGTTCATACACTGCTTGGTTAAATGGCAACTCCCTGTACAACTACACAAAGATAACTTTTGTTTAAAACCCTAGGTTTGGTCAGTCAAACACCACCACCATGGATTTGGGATGTAGAGAGGGGAAGACAAAAGACTAAGGACCAAGCAGAATTTTTAAAATTGCATCTCAGGAAGCATTACCGAGACTCCAGCAGACAGACACTAACCACATATACACCACCACCAAAGGAGCTAACAGTGTGAGCTGTGACGTAAGGGAGCTGAGCAGTAGTAACAGTAGCCTACACAGCACTAGTGTTGGGAAGTGATTTTTTTGGTCTGCAGGGTGGCCACCTTAATTGATTTTGTTGGTGCTGCCCATTTGTATAGCTCATGCCCTCAATGTCCCCAGTCTTTCTAAGTTAGAGGTAAACTCATTCAATAAATTCATTTCCTGCATTGTGGCCAGTGGGATAGAAAAAGTTCTTCATGGTACTTAGAGACTCATTATTACACAGTGTGTTTCCTTACAGATACTATGTCAAAAACTAAAACTGAGGGTTGGAACAAATTTCTAATATATCGCAAGGCTTAAGAAATTTCACAAGGACAATTTTGCCTCTGACCTGGACATTTCAAAAATATTATGAAATTAAATATTCTAATCTGTACTACATCCCCAAAGTTTAATTTACTCATTTTCCTTTTCTTCAAAAGTACAGCTACAGTCATCCCTTCTCCTCCCCATGGAATGCTTCCTTGGTTTCTTTTCTGTGGTTTGCCAATCTACAACGTAGGCATAAGATGATCTTGACTTCTATTATAACCTCATTTTGAATTTTCTAATTTCACAACTTTAGTTGTGGCCATTTACTTTTACTATTTTCTTTAGATTAATGTTGACCCTAGACTAAAAACTGAAACAGGTTTTACAGACTGCTAGTAGAAATTTAGGTAGTGACCTGTATTTTAATTTGAGATAGTTTTCATTGCATGCAATCTCCAATCACAAAATAATTGAAAATTACCCAATTTTATTTGTGTGTACTACTGTTTGCATCATAAAGTAGAAAGAGCAGTAGAGGAACATTTTCTGTATATCTCCTCATAAGCATGTGTGTGCATGCTTGTCCACATGTGCATGTGTATCGTGCAGTCACTATTACAGAAAGTGAATAAAAAGAGCAACTAATATTTGACAAAGCTTTAAAAATTTTAACCAGATTATGAGCTTTATTCAACAGAGAATCTTTTTTTCTAGTAAGAACCAAAAGGAGAAATATCTTCTAATAAGTTCCAAAAGAAGAAGAGTAACAAACATTTTCACTGAAGACAAAAGATCTTTAAAACCAGGACCAACATCAGTAGAAATCGACTATGCTTCTAGCCCCATCGTGCACATCTACATACACAATAAATTCTTGGCTTCTTGCTGTATTCCTCTGACCACCCTGTGATCACCAAAATGGGGCAGCAAAACAGAATGGTCCCATTTCACTTAATTTCCCAGGCCCAGAAAGACAAAGGATGCTTATTTCTCCGTGTCTGTGGTAGTGAGACTTAGCTTATAAGTAAATATGTCAGGTTGTGTGCAAGTGTATGCAAATGTATTCACTGAAGCAGGGTAGATTCAAGGAAGAATTCAAATACTAAAATTCCTGAGAAAGACAAAGTCAAAGTTCCACTAAATGAACACCAGGAAATGAGTTCTGGAAAGAACTGGAGTAGGGTCAAGGGGAAAATGGTAGATGAATGATGAGAAAAGGGAGAGAATGCAATACAGAATCCAATGTATATGCTACACAATTAAGAAGACTAAGGAAGACTAAGGAAGGAGAGAGCTGGGTGAGAATGTTGAAAGGGGGGTCATTGATCAAGATGCATTGTATTAATAAACTTCATTGTTAAATAAATGGCAGCTCCTTTTACAACTATGTAAAGATAATTTTTTAAATTAAAAAACAAAACAAAATAAAATCAGAATGATTCCAGGTCTCGTGCTTTCCTGGGCAGCAAAACCTTGTATAAACAAAAATAACAATAAAAAGTAATAAATTTTAAAATTCTTAAAGTCTAAGGCAATTATACTTAAAAATAGCAATTTTTCACAAGGCTAAAAGTAATTTAATTAAAAGGAATTTCTATTTTGTTAAGAAAAAAAAGTCTCCCACTATGCCATCTAAACATTTCCTTTCCATTGTTTTCTCAGTGAGTTTATGACTTGCTTATTTCTCAGACTGTAGATAATGGGATTTAGCACAGGAATTATGACAGTGTAAAATAGAGAGTCTATCATGTCCTCCTCATCTCTCTGAGAAGAGGCAGGGCGCACATACATGATAAGAAGAGTACCAAAGTATAAAGACACAGATAAGAGATGGGCTCCGCAGGTGGAGAAGGCTTTCTTTATGTCTTTGATGGACTTCTTTTTTAAGATTGCAAAGATAACCAAAGTATAAGAGGCAAGAACAGTCACAAAGCTGAATCCTTGAACTGAGCCAGCCAAAAAATATACCAGCATAAAATTAACTGAAGGATAAGTACAAGAATTCTTTAATAAAGGCAAAATATCACAATAAAAGTGATATATTTTGGAAGCACAGAAATTTATTTTGACTAAAAAATGCTGGTGAATTATGGCATGAAGAAATCCTGCTATAAACGTCAGCACAATTATCTGGATGCATAGCCTATTGGTCATAATCACTGGGTAATGTAGAGGTTTGCATATGGCCACATAGCGATCATAAGCCATTGCTGTCAAGAGAAAACATTCTACAGTTGCACTGAATCCAAAGGAAAAAAACTGTGTCAAACATTCAAGGAGAGATGTCATGTTGTCTTTGACTAACAATGTGACCAGCAGTTTGGGTGTCACTGTAGATGATATCCAAGTGTCTACAAAAGCTAAATTCCCAAGGAATAAGTACATGGGTATGTGCAGGTGAGGGTCATACCAGATGACACTAATCAGACTGAGGTTCCCCATAATGGTCATGAGATATATCACCAGGAACAGCAGGAACAGGGGAATTTTCCACTCCGGTTGTTGTGTAAGTCCAATGAGAACAAACTCTGTCAATGAAGTTACATTTTCTTTTTCCATGTCCTCACTGCTATGTCCCCTGAAGAATAAAAAGAAATCACTAACTGTGAAAATAATATTCTTGATGTAATTTTGAACGGAAAATTGTTGTAAAAGAATTGAAATAAACCATACATTTTCATGAGAATCTCCCATTGTTACTTATTATTTTACACAAAAATAAAACTTTTGGGAATATTGCAATAAAAATTAAATTTCAGTTTTTGATTATTTAGAAATAAAGTATTTAGAGAAAAATGAAAATTATTTCAAATAAATGCTAAATTTATCCTGAGTCTGATACATGCACAGTCAAGGAAATGATCTTTTTTAATTCAAGGGTTCTAAAATTAGTTGAAAGCTGGGTAAAACTAAATCAAAAGAGTTGGCTGAGTAGTATCATTGGGCTTTATGTGATATCATATGCAAGGACAGTGGTTTGTGAAAGAGATATGTTGAAGTTACATCTTCAGAATTTCCAGGCGACAAGCATTTAGTAGAACAGTACCAATAAAATAAATGATTCAGGAGGTACCATGATAATGAAAGGAAAAATAATGTACATTTTATACCATAAAAAGTGTCAAAAATAGAAGAGAAATAAAGTAGAAAGAACATAAGTGACTTATAAATTAAGTGTGCGTAATTCATAAGCACTTGTTGGAGCATCACAAGTCTGAAGTGTAACTTAGGTTAAATCATACAACTCTTTACACATAGGTTATATAGTGGCTGCAAGTTATTAATTCGATTGCTCAGAGCTCAACTCTCTTTCTATTAAATCGACCTTAGTGACAGAGACATATTTATTGCAAGATACTCAATTAGTAGTACTTTCACAGGGAACTTAATCAGTCAAACTAACCTTTCCTAGATTTGGAGTTTGAGGAAGGGGAATCAAAGAAAAGAGACCAATGAGAATTTTTGAATCATATTCCATTCAAGAATATTAAGCAAAAATGTGTCTCCTTCAACAATGGATGATCTGGTTGAGTAGCTGAAATTTGTGAGACTTCATCAGAGCTAACAGCAGACTTCACTGAGCTGGTGTTAACAAATATTCTTTGATTTTTCATTTGTTTGTTTTTTCCTGCTCAGTGGCTGCTTTTATTTGTTTTATTCTTGCCTATTTTTATATCTGATTTCCCCCACAGTCCTCAGTTTTTATGTTAGCATCAATATTCATTCAATAAATTCATTTCCTGCCAAGTGATCTAAGACAGAATTATTTCCCAAGTCTTGGAGATTTGTTGTCAGGGGATAGATGGCCTCAGACACAATGACAGAAACTAAAATTCCCAGAGAGAACAATAGTTTAATACTCTAAAAAGCCTGAGCAATTTCAGAGTGGTGAGTTTTCCTCTGAACTGGGTATTTCAAATAGTTTCGAGCATTTCTGATCACTGTAATCTGTGCCATTTTCCAAATGACCCAATTCAATTAATCTTGGATACATCCATGCACAGAATGACTTGCAACTGCTTTTCTCTCAACAATCACCTTTTATCAGAAAAATGTTAAGACTGCATTCTAAATCAGACTATACAAATAATCAGTGAACCTTATATCCAATTAACATCAAGAAGCCAGAAGTGAAGCTGTGGCTCAAATGGTAAAGTGTGCCAACCTTGAAGGAAAAAGCTAAAGGACAATGCCTAAGCCCTGAGTTCAAGCCCTGGCACTGGTATACAGAATAGCAACAAAAAAAAATTTAAAAAGTAAACAAAAGCAAATGTCCTATATATACACAATAGAATTCTATGCCTCCATCAGAAAGAATGACATTGCCACATTTGGTAAGAAATGGAAAGGCTTGGAAAAAATTATATTAAGTGAAGTAAGCCAGGCCCAAAGAAACATAGGTCCCATGGTTTCCCTTATTTGCAATAACTAGTATATGTCTGAGTCAAGCAGAAAAGGTCAGATAAGTTGATGCTAGGGAAATGAACCCCAAGATAAGTATTCAAATGTTTTCTTTTTTCATGTGATTGTTTCTAACATGTTTATAAGATTATTTCTTTGTTTCTTTGTATGTCCCTCCCCCACAGTATAACCCCTGCTTTCACTGTATTTGATGTCGGTATTATTTGTGGAGGGGAAGGGGAAAAACAAATCGTTTAAATAGGGATACAGGTGGACCCATTGCAACAATGAGATGTACAAGTCGTTATGTCAAAAACGAACTTTACAACATTGAGGGGGGGGGAACGGGGGAGGATGGGAAGGGATGGGAAGGGGAAACAAAGGAGAAGGCTACAATGCTTGATAAGAAATGTACTCATTATCTTGCCCATGTAATTGTAACCCCTCTGTAGAGTATTTTCACAATAAAAAAAAAGTAAACCAAGAGGGAAGTAAAACAAATTGTCTCTATGAAAAATGTTGCCTGTTCCACACATCACTTATACCTTAAGAGTCTTAATCATAACATGCATTTGTGTCTTTCTAATAAGAATCAAAAGAAAGACATTTGTGTGAGAAAAGTTATGTTTGAAATATTAAACTAAGCTTTAAATTAATGTTCTGGTACCAAATATCGATTTTATAAGTTCATTATAGTTAGGTTGAAAAACAATAAAATACAATTGCGAGGAACAAATCAATTTTCTAGCTATCTATTGCTGACATATCAATTCTTTCCTAATGAAAATAAATACAGATATAATTCATTAATAGTTTTCCTTTTCCACTTGTTAATTGGAGTATCTTGTAAATACAATCTTACATCACCAAGAATTAGCAAAACAATTAACTTTCTGTGCAAAAAAGAATATTTTAGAAATTATTTTCATACCTTAGAAGAAATGGTAAGGAAATGTAAAAGCATTTGTCCTTATAAAGAGACAATCCATACAAGTCATAGAACAGCCAAGATAAAGTCGTAGAAAACAATGATCACATTTGTACATTTTGGAAACTTCATTTCACAAACTGAAGAAACGTTATTTTATAAATATATCTTCAAAATAAAACCCCGCCAATTGCACAATCATTTACTCTTGCCAAAAGTCAAATGAGAACTGAATTCCCTAAGGACAGTGGGCTCCTTTAGGACAAAGGGAAACCATTCTACTGGGCATTGAAATCCTGGGCAATTTACAGAAACTTTAAATTGTTCCATAGGGTTTTACAGAATGCGAATTTGGAAAGATAAAATCCCTACAAACAATTCGATTTTAATACCTAATGTACTACTGTACATCTCTATTTTCTTGCACAAGTGACATTTCTGGTATGTTTGGGAAAATATTTAGCTTATATAAATGATACTCTTCTGAGAGCTTCATTTTGTATAATTTTGTAGCAATCCTTCTATCATAATTTCAATTTTATTTTGGAAAATAATATTAGCCTAAAGTTATTGTGAAAATTACACCACAAATTCCAAACATACACCAAGTTAGCTCTACCAGTTTATTCTGACATCTATTGAAAATTTTTGCTAACCAACAGTTACAATAGTGGAACAAAGAAATAAAAAAGCTGTTTTTTTATTTAATTTTATTTTATTTGTGAACATACTGTACAGAGGGGTTACAATTGCATGGGCAGGATAATGTGTACATTTCTTACCAAGCATTGCAGCCTCCTCCTTTGTTTACCCTTCCCATCCCTTCCCAGCCTCCCCCCTCCCCCCCATCCCAATCCTT